TTGGTCCATTTTTCTAGGTTTTCACATCTGTTGGCAAAGAGTTTTTATTCCCTAGTGATGTTTATTTTCTAGAGATCCCAAGTGATGAATGGTATATATTGCAAAGTCTCCCGTTTCATCACTAATTTTATTTATTTGGTTCTTCTCTTTATCTTAATTAATTATGTAAAGGTTAGTCAATTTTATTTACCCTTTCAAAGAACCAGCTCTTTTTGTCACTGATCCTTTATATTGTTCTTTTGGTACCTACTTCATTTATTTCTGTTCTAATCTTTATTATTTCTTCCTTTTTATTGATTTCCCCCCCCTAAAAACCTAAGGTGCATCATTAGGTTATTTATTTGATGTTTCTCCCTTTCTCTCTTTTGATGTAACCACTCATTGCCTTAAATTTCCCTCTTAGTATTGCTTTGCTATACCCCACAAGTTTTGGCATGTTTCCATTTTTATTTGATTACAGGAATTTATAAAATTCCCCCCAATTTCTTGAGTGACCCCACTATTCAATAGTGTTGTTCAATCTCCCTGTGTTTATAAAATTTCTTTGGTTTCTTTTGCTGTTAATTTCTTGTTTCAATCTATTGTGATCTGATAAAATAAAAGAAATTCTTTCTTTTTTTTAATTTTTAAAGATTTGCTTTATGGCCTATTACGCAATCTATTTTGGAAGAAGTTCCATGTACTGATGAAAAGAATATGTGTTCTGCAACTGTTGGAGGCAATAATCTGTAATGTCTTTTAAATCCATTTGATCTATAGTATAATTTAATTCGGATGTTCCTTTTTTGGTGTTTTGTTTAGATGAGATTTTCTTCAAATTGTTTCACATATTTTGTGTTCATTTCTTCATGTCTTATTCATCTTATATGTTTAATAGTTTTTACTACACTGACAGTCTTTGATTCTTATTTGTATGTTTACTCTTCTAGTGAGATTTAGTCTTTCCTGTGCTCTGGTAATTGTGTTAATTTTCATTGCCTTCTGGGAGTAGAATTAAATATTTTCTGTAATGCTGATCTAGTGGAGTCCTTAAATTTATGTTTGTTTTGGAGGTTTGTATTTCTTCTTCAAATTTGAAGTATAACCTTGCTGAATATAGTAGTGTTGGATGGTAGTAATTTTCTTTTAGATCTAGAAATATATCATTCCATGACCCCTGGACTTCAGAACTTCTTTGAGAACTCTGCTGTTATTTTGATGGATTTATCTTTAAATGTGACTTAGAGCTCTCAGCTTTTAATACTCTTATTTTTGACACAGATAACATGTTACAGAAAGCTTTTTTAAAAAATTCCTGATCATATCTGTTTGGGTTTCCAAATGCTTTGTGTACCTGGATAGTCATATCTTTCCCAAGATGTGGAAAAATTTCTGCTATATATTTAACCAAAAGGATTTTCTATGCTCTCAGAATATAGCTCTTCTCCCTCTAATA